TGCTGCCATGTTGTGGTGAATTGCTTAGGTTCCCTTGGGTGCTTCTCATTTATGCTGTGTGTGCAATGCAGGTGATTCTGGGAGCATTCTGGAACTCTTCCTTTGAGCTTCCTGTGAATATGGACTCTAAACAATGGAAACTCAATGTGAGCACAGCTGATGTTTTCTGAAATGCAAAGCACACAAGTGCCTCGCTGTTCCTGCAGTTGTGTGTGCACCTGGGATGGCAAACATCAGAGGCTGCTCTTCTCTTCTGGCGACAGCACCGCTGCTTTTGTGCCTGGAAACTCCTGAGGCTGAAAAGTTGTGGCTGGATTCCTCCTCTGAGCATTATTCATTCTGTCCACATATATCATGTGTTTCTCTTGCTATCTGCTTAGGGTTCCATGCTGAAAATTGGTTGAATTAGTTATGCATTTGTTGAGTTCCCTTTTCTTTTAGAGAATGTGTACTATGTCTTCAGGAAGTTTGAAGAAAAAACTGGAGAATGCAAAGGATTAAGTATTGTCGGTGTTGATGAAAAACATAAGTCAGAAAAAAATTGATAGCATTGTTTAAATAACTTCTCATAAATGTGTAAGATTCTCATTAGTTCAACATCAGAAGTCTAATGAATATTAATGAATGAGATCAAAGACATTTAGAAATCAAAGCAAGTAAACAACAATTATTTTTAAGAATTATATAAGTTTTTAACTGCACAAAAATATGAATCATCTTAATCGTATGGCTCCATGATAAGTTTTTCTTGAAATAATTTTTCCTGAAAATTTTTGTGTTGAACTAGAAAGGCAAGTGTGTAACATAAACCAGAAAAATAGATACATCAAAACCTGAAATATATAAAATGTCTTCATTATGCTGTATTGAAATACCTAAATTAAACTGTGGAGTCTTACAGGCTGGGAATTTTTTACTTGGCCTGAGTCCATGATTTGAGCTTGACTCAGACTGTCAACATAAATTGGTAAATATTGAGAAGGAAATTACTTTTGGATGTCTCAGACCTTTACTGTTTCCTTCTACATTTCTAGTACTTTTGGACTAAATGTATCCGTGCTGCAACATATACATAGTGTAATTCTGTTAAAAAAGATGGGTTCACACATCATTTAATACATACAAGATTTTGATCATCAAATATCAGAGTATGACCAGAACTATCTTCATCTCATTATCTGCTTTTCCAAATCTTATCTAGAACCAGCATGTGGTGTGACCTGTATACCACAGTTATTTAATCTTTGAACAGTACATGCTTGTAATGTAGCATGGGGTATTCCAGCATCACAGTATGAGGTGAGTAAATCTTCCAAGACTGAGGGAAATAATTGGAACAATGTATTAAATATTACTTTTCATTTATCTTTACATTTTTACTATCATTCATTTAATAATTCATTTATTTCACTAAAAAGAAAAAGTCAATTTTTATATGAGATGGTATCTAAAAATCAAAATAATAGGTGCAGGCATGAATTAAAGCTTTTTTTTTTTTCTTACTGCAATTAAAGAAAACATTTTATATGTGTATAATTTTCTTTAAAAGTCTGTGATGGTTTTAATGCATTTAATTCACAAAGGCCGTAATGGTGCTATAATTCTGAAGGCCCCTGTCCCCCAGTGCAACACAGAGAGTGTTGTGCTCATAAAGCACGCGCTGGCTCTGGGCAATAGTGACATTATTTGACAGTTTGTGATTCCTACGAACTTTAATGGCAAAGAGGATCCTTCAAATACTGTCAGAGAAACAGTTTCATTTTGAACTTGGATATAAAGCTAATGGTATCTAACAGCTTTTAGTGTCACTGAATCAAATTCCTCAAGTAGAAAGAAGGGGTGACATTCTGTTTTAAAGTGACCGTATGTTTGACCCAGTTTGGCGATGGTGGTGTCATCACAATTGTATCTTGCTGCTGTAGGCTCTTGCAGCCTGACAGGCGGAACAAGTTGCTTTAGCTCACAGGGCTCATCTGTCACACTGAGCAGCTTGCAGGTTTCTGTTATCTGAATGAAATGTGGAGAGAGGACTTCTCCCTGCTCCCCGCCTATCAGCATAGTCAGCAACCTGCTCACACCCCATTCATATGAAATGCTACAAGAAGAAAGAATTAAAAAACCATTTACAGAGATGCAAATGTAAGCCACATTTAGTAGTTAAATGAGATGTGGTTCAAAAATAATAATTAAAAAAAACATGTCCAGGAACTAGATGGAGAGTTAATTTCCAAAGAAGAATTGCAATTTCCTTATCTGAAATGGGAGATAGAAAATTTTAATTGTATATTTAAGACCCAAAACTAAGAACAGTTTTATAATTCGGTAGGGCAGTGACAGGCATCTCTTTTTTCATCATGAGCACTTACTTAGCATTTGAAGAGTTCAAACCTTTATCGAGATTTTATTGCATTTCCCAAAATAGTGCATCTAGAATTTTGTACCTTAGGCAAAATCTTGCTATAATCTCTACACTCTTTGTAGTTCTGTGATAGGAGCAATATTCAGGCCCTGAGTTTGTGCTGGTTGCGCTTTAAAGTTCATACGTGACTGACTTGGCTGCTTTATTGTTGCAATGACCAATTTTAACTTGTTTTGAGAATATTGGCAAAATGTGCACAAACCATAATGCTTAGTAAATGCTGATTAGTGGTTTTTCCTATGTTAAGCATAGGAAGAAATTTTTCTAGCCTGTTATGTGTAGTTTAAAAAATTATTTTACTAGAGTAAAATTTCCAAATAAAACTTCAGCCAGGACGAACTACCAAGTGGTTTCTGTTTGTTATAATAATAATGATTGTGGCAGTCCACAAGCAAAATGATTCACATGTGACACATGTCAGGAATGCCTTCTGTTATTCAAAAATGAGATCGATTATAGTTGGGGAGAAACTGTTAATAATGTTTTATTCAGAATGATGCTGTACAACATTATTCAAAAGGAATACACCAGTTGGTATTTTCATCATGGAAATTATGAGCTGAATCAGCCCAATCTAATGCAAAATAGGACTATGGAATGTATGTTGTATGTATGAATTAGGAAGATATTTATATCTTTGGATTTCGCAGCTTCAGTGGAATAGAAAGGGTCGTTCTGTGATCGATGGATTTGTGGTGAATTGCACAAGATCTGAGAAAATGAGGATTGCATTTATCACATCTAAGGGGAATGTCAAAGTGTGTGACTGCACATAACCCCATCAGTGGTAAAATGATGACAATGTGCCTTTGGGAGATACCAATCAATATGAATGTTGTAAAGCTCAACAACGCCTGATGCCATTCTATCTGATGAGCTCTGGGGGTGGCTTAGAGAGCCACAGAAGGAAAAAAAACAAAGAAAAACATCAGGTTTGTGCCCAAGACCTGCTTGTGAAAAAATTTGAAATAAGTCTCATGAAAATGAAATGAGACACAATGTTCTAGGTCTGAAAAATTGGATAAAGATGTTCAGCTGAATTTTGTTCACCTGATCATTATAGACAGCATGTACACACTATATAATCATTGGGAGCATGACACAGAACCAGAATGAGTGTGTAATGAACTTTCCAGAGTGCAGTTAGTTGGGAAAACCAGTAGTTTTGGCCTCCTTAAAAAAAAGAAAAAAAGAAAAAAAAGAAAGAAGTTGATGATCATTCATTCAGAAAACTCACTGGTTTGCTCAACAGAAATAAATCCTATGATTTCTGACCAGAATAAATCATTGGCAATGTCACAGATGAAGAATATCCAAAACAAGCTCAGAAGTAAAATGTAAGTGAGCAGGAACATTTTAAACAGAAAGCTGCTGCTTCTGTCACAAAACCTGTAACATATAAAGGCTGAAATATATTTCGTATATATTGTTTTTCTTTTCCCAGTAAGAACTCTAAAACCTGAATCAGATTTTCTGTGGACAAGAGTGAGGGATTTCTGAGGGAATAACCCAAATGCATGCTGATAGAAACATGCATATATAATGTATATAGGCACACTTAAAATCTCTCTAAATATTTTCGGCAGTGGTGAAGACAAAAGCACCTGAAATCTGTGCTGCTATTTCATAACTCTGAAGTTCCTAGCTAAAGGATATGCAGCTTTGTTCCTTGACTTGACCTGTTTTTGTTGGAATGGGTATTTTACTCCTTATGTAGCCAGCTCTTGCTAGTCTAAATAATTTAAAGAATCGTTATAATTTAGGTGCAATTATGAAATTAAAATAAGGAAGAGGGTAGAAGTGGGAGTTTTTTTGGGAGCAGTGATAAGGTGCAGACAAGAAATAATTCTCCATCAATTTTTCCAGGAAAACTGAAGGAAAGTCTCAAACAACTTTGGTTTTGCAGAAATTTATGTTTCTTTTTGTGCTAAAGTTAGATAAAAATTGTACCTAGGGTTATGAGGTAGAGACTAGTAGTTGTAGAGATCAGAAGAGATCACTGCAGTTCTTCCTTTGAGCTCCTGTTGGGGAATGCAAATTCTCTCATTTCCCTCGATGGAGGCTGGTAACGTGCTCGGCTGAAGTGGATCTGCTGGAAAGCTTCTCTTCGTTTGAAGAGACTGAGAGGGATTCAGTGCCCACTTCCTTTGGCAGTTAGTTCTACCTGTTTGTTAGTCATCTTCCAGATTAAACTTGGGGTTGTACAAGTTGATCTTTTGTCTGCATTGTCTCGCTGATATGCAGGGCAGTCCCTTTTTAACTTCTGTGGCAAATTGGCATTGGCCAAAATTGCTTCAGCCTTGGCTCCCCTATCCATGTACAGGACTGTGGATGAGTTCAGTGTTAGTGACCAAACAACAGGTCATTAAAGCAGTAGAGGGAAGCAACATCTGTTTGTACAGCCTTTTTCCATACAATAGTAGCAGTACAAAATAAACATGATTATTAATGTATGGGCCAAACATGTATTTATTATCCCTTTGTAGTTTCAAATTACAGAAAAAGGATACTCTAAAGGTAAGTGTATTTCTTACATTGCAGTGACAAGCATTGCCTTACACCCTTTGTGTTGCATTCACAGATCTGCATGCAGAGATTGAAGATAAAGCTGACAGGACAACTTCTTTAGCCACCTGGCTTTGCTATCAGACAAAAGGGGTGAGTGACAGAGGGAAAATGTAAAGAAAGTTGATATGCTGAGGGTCTCCAAATCTTAGAGAATAAGTGCTGACTTCTGCTTTGTTCACAGTGGTTAAGTTGTGCTGTTGTAGTTATGTTTGCAAAGATTAATGCCAGTGTATTTAAAAATAAATGCACTGGTCCTGCGTCTGCTCCCTTGATTAATAATGCCAGGTGGGAAAAACAAGAAAATTGAAAGTGACTTTTTAATGGTTCTTCTGAATTTGCATGAGGCTTGCTTATGTAGTAGTGTGCATCAAGGATTTCTGTGGAAAGCAGGAAATTAAGATAGATAAGGTTGCATAACTATGGATTTTCACTGTGTATTGAGTGGATAAATACCTAAAGTTTAGGTAGCAGAGCATAATAGTTATCTGTGTGTATAATATCACAATAACTTTAGTCTTTTAAAATAATTCAGCATTCTGTACTTGCTCATAAACACATGATATAATTGTTCTTTGATTAATAGCTAAAGTAGAAATAGGGTGCTTTTTTTGCTAAAAAGAGACTGGATATTACATCAGGCAGCCTGACAAAGATCCGTTTTCATCAATAAGCTATTTTGATGAGATTCAGGTATCCCATAAACTTATATTTGTTTCAGCAATTTCAACTTTTCATTTTTTCACTTCATCTTCACCTTTTTCTGTTGTCACATTCAGAAAGTTGAACTGGGATAATTAAAGCAGCCTTGAACATAAAAGGAAGATGTAGAAATTCAAGACAGTCACATTATGCAGTGAAATTTAAATTGATATGATTTTGTGCCATTGTAAATTGTAAATCACTGTGATCAATTGTTTAAGGACCAGTTAAACACCAGATTTGTATAGCCCAGAAGAAGAAAATGTATGCTATGCTGTGGTGTGAGTTTACTTTATTTTTTCTGATCATGTTTGCCTTTTATAACATGGTACATGAATTTTTAATATATAAGGCAGTTGAGCTGTTAATCAGTAAAAAAACATATCAGAAGAAAGAGATTGGAGCAAGCAAATATTTCTAATAAATAAAAGTATTTTCAAAGAAAAACATTTAAGAGAAGCTAGAAAGTGGAGGTCTGTACGTGGAAGCAGAACTCTCTCTTCTTTTTATCTGAATCTTCTTTTTATCTGAAATTATCTGAAATTATCATGGTAACTGTGGTGTTGTCTGCCATAGGTGACCTTGAACCAAATAACCTCCTTATAATTATCTTTTATTTAGATAGATTTGGCTTCCATTTCGTATTCACACATGCACACACCCAGTTATTTCTCCTGTTCTTTATTTGGGAACAGGCTGAAAATGTCCGTTCGATCCCTCGCAATAGCCGCGTCCTTTAGGTCTTTAGGTGGCACATCTGCTGTCAGGTGCTGTTACCTACATTAATTGTCAGACTTGCTTTTCCTTGGAGAGATCCTGGCAGGAGGAAAATTCTCTGGAGAGGAGGTGGTGACTAGTTCTGCCCTCGTATGGGCACATTTCTCAGATGCTCTAGTCATGTAGATAGAAACTCACCACACCTTAGTTCTGAACTGGTGACTACAAGCCAGCACCGTCCTGAAGCTGCTGTCCCACCCCTTTAGCTCTGAGTTCAACTCAAGCTGCTATGATTTGCCCCTTAGCATCGGCTACTGATCTGGGTTCGATGTCAAATTAAGAGAATCGTGCAGCTTTTGTTCAGATTGAAGAGGCAGTTTAGGTCTGTCCTTTATGTGTTAGTGGGATGTTAAGCACAGGGGCTGGGTGAGCAGAAAATGGCAGTGAAACGTCTGGACTGCAGAACCTTGTCCTTGGCTGTAATGGAATTGCACGTGGTGATCTCTGTGGCTCATTGAGAGCCTGATTGCTTTGCTTTTGAGCCCTGAGCAGCCCTGGTGAACTGAATCAATTTATCTTTTTGTGAGAACATGAGGCTTGAATTCCTGATTCTCTGGGCATGTTTGTGTTTGAGCTGATACTAGTCTGGCTCCAGACAGAGAAAACAGGAGCTCTGAAGGGACTTAGAGAAGAAAGGAATGAAGGGTCTTTCCTTCTGGAATTCTATGCTCAGTTCAAGTAATCAGCAGAGGAGTTAAGAATTATAACAGTTCTCTTTCTTGTTGGTCATTTTTATAATGTGGAATGTATATTTAGACTCATTTAGCTTGGAAAGGCCTTTAAGATAATTGAGTCCTGCCAAGCACTGCCACTAGACCATGTCCCTAAGTGCCACATCTGCACATTCTGTATTTGAATATAGGATGCTGGTGTACCTAGAATGTATGAAATATGGGACTTACTTATCATGTCATTGAGAATTAATTTTATGTACTGTCTCAGATTTTCCAGATGGAAGAAGAGTGAATAAAGGAAAAGAAAAAGAATAATAAAACCTTAATCACTGGCATATCACAATCTGGCAATAACAGTACTATTTATTAGGTGGAAAGATGGAAAAGTTCCATTTGCAAAGCAGCACACTATCTATTAACATTTTTTTACTGCTTGCATTGCAGTGGATCTAAATTTGATCAAGTATCTTTGTCATTGAGAGGCAATAAATGTTTCCCCACTAATTGTTTCTAATGCATTTCTTTTAATTTATTGTGGACATGAGAGTTGGAAACACTGAAAGTTGCTCAGATTTCATGAAAGAGCTGGAGCAATGTTGCCTTGAAATAAAACAGGAGTGTTGAGCTCCTACAGGAAGAAGTGTATTCCCTGAATGCATTTTTCCAAACCAGTTCTGTCATATGTCAGAGATTTTTAAAACAATTTTCTCTAGTATTTGTTTACTTGTAAGATAATTGACTTTAATATTTTTCTGGGACCATTGTATATCAGAGGCATCACGGGGTTATATAGATACACTTTGAAAATATAATTGCATTGACCAGCATAGATTTGATTTTTTAAAGTAAGTTACCTGAATTTGGAAGCACCTAACTTTGGAAACCTGCTATGTCCTGTAGAAAGAAGCACGGTAGAATGGGAGTGTGTAGTTAATGTGTCCTTTTTAAAGAGAATATTTGTAGTACCAGAATACCAATTACGTTATTGGCCCTGCAGAAGAACTGAAAGGTGATTGCCTGAATTAAGGTGACATTGGGCGTGATCAAATTTAAGTTCGCTCTTACCAAACACAATTGGTAAGCCCTTGGAATCTCCAAATAAATACTTGTGCTTTAAGGTCAGTCCAGACCTCATGGATTGCTTTTCCTTTCCCTGATAAAAGCAGATGCAAGCGTGCCAAATTGCTTTGCTCCGGCTTAACCCCAGCCCTGTTTGAATTCATAAATGCTACAAAAGGAAAGCTTATTACCGCATGCGACGGTGAAGTGGGAAAATGTCATGCCTACCTAATCTATTTCCTGGGAAGGGGAGAACAATCTTTTTATTCTTTTACTAAGACCTGGGGGATAAAGTAAGGACTGGATGTGATGCTGATAATCAAGGATTGTCTTTCATATTTTAAATTGATATCAACCCTGTATTTTCTGTTTCTGATATATTTTCTCAGAAATGAGACAGTAAAGGATTTTTTTTTCTGTATTGGATTAGAATAATATACTGTATTTAAATAGTTTTTATTTTTTAACTTATTTTACTTGTTTTTTTACTATTAAGCAGCTGTTTCTCTGAAGCTCTTGGTTTAAGGATAAATTGTTCAAACACTGGCATATCATTTAGCAGATGAAACAAAGCAGTGCTGCATTTGGGCTTTATATGGTAACTATAGCAGTATTAGAAAGGGTATCAATGTTCTGAATTGATAACAAGTACATAGTTTTAAATAACTTGGACAAGAACAAAACACTCCTAAAATAGAGTGCTTGAGGGGAAAGTAGGCTTTCACACTGTAAACAGTGTTCTTTGAAAGCTGGGAGAAGGAAAAAAATACTGTAGCACAGTACAGTTAAATCATTACATTAATTGAACATTTGTCTATTTGCAGTGGTTTTGCTTTGTGGTTGTCAGTAAGATGAATGGCTGAGAAGGGAAGTGAAGGGGAAGTAGTAGTGGGTAGGGTTCAAAACAAAATAATTAATATTCATAGGGTGAAATTGTGGGTAATGTAAGTTCACTTTCTTGAAAGTTGTTTAGTGGTGTTGTAAACTACTGCCTGTAATCAACTTAGCAAATCTACAGACACAAATTTTGCAATAATATGTTCTTCAGTTTTTAAGTGAGGATGACTAACATCTTGTATCAATGAATCTTACTTTATTTCATCATAAATGTTTTGTGAAATGTCACTTCATTGTAAAGTTGAAATCTGCATCTAACAGGTGTTGAATCCTTTCCTTTTGGAAGGTGGTGCTTAAACCTGAATGCCTCTTGTTGTAGTTCTAAGCCTAAAATAGGGCAGATATTTCTTAAGCTATTTGATAGACAGTGTATCAGCCCAATGAGGTATTGACAGGATTTTATAGGATGCAGATGGTGGAGGAAAATGTATTATTTCACTGTTAGCATTTTGTTTCTGATGACGAGCCAGTTATTAGGTTGCTGGTTTTCTCACAAAACATAGCAGGTGGCTACCTAATTAGATTGCCTTAAAGCCTGTTGGAAATGCTGATATGTTTCTTGTAATCCTTTTGCCTTGGGTTGCTGTTGTTAAAGGCTAACTTCTCAGTCTTGGGAAAAAGGCTTGTTCACTGGTTTAAACATGAAAAATGCATTATGCTTGATGTTCTGCTTGATGCTCTTGGTTAAAGTGTAATGTGCAACAGAATTCTCTCTATACTGTGGCTCTTGAAGCTGTAGCTGCTGGGCAATAATGGCAAAAAAGGTGCTCTGATTACAGTTGTAGGAGCTCTACTTCATCATAATTGGTAAGAGATTAAACTTTAATCATTCAATTAAAGCTTTTGGTGCAACTTTTAAAAAAAGAATATCAGTAATGAAAAAACTTGGTCTGGGTAAGTGTGTGTTACTTGACACTGCAGACAGCATTGTCTTTGTACAGCATACTGCATATATATTGCACTGGAAGGGTTTGCATTTAATGA